TGATGTTAGTGTTTATAAATTTTTTAAAAACAAGAAAATTCACAAGTGTTATTGGATTCCAATTTCCTAATGTATTAGCTCTAAGAATGTATGCTATTTTATGTACTTTCCTCCTTCTTTGCCTCACTCGGGATGGAAATCAGGACCTTGCACTTACTAGCATGCATTTTAACATGGACCACATCCACAGCCCTTGTCCCTGGCTCTCTGGGCAGCCCTGGCAAGCTTCAAATACAAGATGCTCCTTCCTCAGACTCCTGAGTACTGAGGTTGCAAGTGTGCATCATAATTCCCAACTAAAAATGTTTTATCTTTTTATCTAGGGAGGCAGGGATTCATATGAACTCATCCAAGACTTCCTGGAAATTCTCTGTATGGCTTAGGATGACCTTGAACTTCTGGCATTCCTGCTTCCACCATCAGAGTTCTGGGATTCGAGGTAAATTCTACCTCACCCAGTTTAGACAGTGCTGCTGATTGTGTTCAGGGACTGGTGCATGCTGGGCAAGTGCACTACCAACTCAACAACATCCTTGGCCTTCAGAATGCCTTATTTTCCATAGAGATGATGTAATGAGACTGAGGAAAATGCTTACAGAAATGCATGAAGCCAGCTGTGGATACCCTGCTCCTAGGCTTGGCAATGCATGGCTCGGTCACTCCCAGGGAATTATGCACCCGATTCTGTTTTCTTTTCACCTGTGTGTGAACATGGTGTTTAATTATAAACCCAACTTCTTTGACTCCCACTTGAAAAGTCTGTGACCCAAGGACAAGCTGCTGGGGTGAAGGAGAGCATTTGGTAAGCCAGGAAACCATGCACTGTCTTAAAAGTGTTAATTAGGAACAAGGATGGTGAGGAGGGGAATGAGGTAAAGCATGGGAGGGAAGCCTAGTAGATTCATTGTTAGCCTCTCCTGCCCAGACCTGGTCCATGATCGTTCTGAATGTGTCAACAACATGACCGAATGAGAGCTGGTTCCTAGAATATAAATATGAAGTGATATCCAGCAACAGCAGAGGAAATCTATGATTCCTTTATTAGTTTTGCTTCCCCCTTCTCGTGTGTGTGTGTGTGTGTGTGTGTGTGTGTGTGTGTGTGTGTGTGATGTTTTATAGATATCTGAGAGGGGAAGTGGTCACAAGCCCCCATCTCTAACCCACAAGCTATCTACAATTGACAACTGCTTGCAAAGGAAGAAAAAAAATTAGTTTTCTCAAATGGAGTCTCACTGGGTGTACAAACCACACTTAAGAGCAGGCAGGCTCGATGCCCAGCAGTTCGTGGCCAACACAAAGAGAACTCAATGGTAGTTCTGGTCAGTCTTTGTTTCATACTGCTCTGTTGGGGCTTCCTTTTCCTTGTAGGTCCTTGTGTTATGTATTATTTTTCAGTTTTGCATTTTTAATGGGCTTTTCTCTGTGTGTGAATTTGAATTTGTGTGTCTCTGCATGTATATGTTTCCTGTGATTTTTCTTTGGCTCTTTTTCTTATGTTTGTTTTTGTCTCATTCTTGTTTGTTTTATTTTATTATTATTTTTTGCTAGATGCCTGTTTGTATTTTAGTGAAAGAGAGAATGAAAGGGTGTGAATTTGGGTGAGTAAGGAAGTGTGAGGATCTGGAAGAGTTGGGGGAGGGGAACTGTAATCAGAATATAGTATCTGATTTAAAAAAAAAACTATTTTCAGGCTGGAGAGATGGCTCAGAGGTTAAGAGCACTGACTGTTCTTCCAGAGGTCCTGAGTTCAATTCCCAGCAACCACATGGTGGCTTACAACCATCTGTAATGAGATCTGGTGCCCTCTTCTGGCCTGTGGACATACATGCAGATAGAATACTGTATACATAATAAATAAATAAATCTTAAAAAAACCTATTTTCAATAAAAACAAATAAATATACTTTTTGTTTCTCACCACTCCTAAATTATGGGCCTTGTACCTACATCAGAGTAGAACACACAATCTTCTAGAGAAGGACTACATTTGAAGGGTAAAGGAAGAAATGTAGCTAAAACACAGATAGCGTATAAAATAGTTGAAGTCCCAGAAGAGAGAAAAATGGTGACATTGTCAGTATTGGAAGACATATTTGAGAATCTTTAAAAAATGGGGAGAACAAACAAACTGATAAACAAATCAGACTAAAGTCTCAGGGAGATTTCTGAATCCCAAGAATAATGAATGACTAGAAATTCAACCCCATACATGACACAGTAAAATACTAACTAACTAACTAACTAACTAACTAACCAACCAACTAACTAACTAATAAACAAATCATGCATCCCTCTAAGAAGGCCCCTCTTTTAGGAAAACCTAATTCAAGAGAAGTTTAACAGCAAGAAGAGAACTAGGAACTCGTGGAATAATATCTTCATAATTTTGAAGGAATAGCTCCCAGCTTTCAACTCTTTGCTGAAACTATCTGCCAAGTCTGAAAGAGTTTGGACTTCATTAAATTTCAGCTTGGTAGCTGGCAGATCAGCATTAAAGGGAAATATACAGGTGCTGCTTTTTAGCAGTAATGAGAATATGGGAAACTTCCCATCATAGGAGGCGAGAGCAGTAATGCAAGAGGAAACTAGTTGAAAAAGGGGGTAAACCAGTAGGCAAATTTAATGAAAACTGGCAAAACACTTTGACTTTACTTTCCATCATTAAATAAAACAATGGAAGAATGCTTCCCAGGCAACAGGTTTCAGTTCTGCAGAGCAGGAAGGTGTCAGTTGCTGTCAGTGAAGGCTTCATAGGCCCCATGACAACTTACAGCAGCTTTTACATAGAATTCCATTGAACTGGTGGGACTTCCATCCCCAAGAAGAAGCCTGGTTGGGAGAGAGCCAGTGCACATGGGCTGCAGTAGGTGGGGAGGAGGAGTGCAGAGAGTAACAGGTATTTTCTGTTCCAGGTAACAGAGGCCCAGGACTGAACAGTAAATGTACTCTGAGCTCATGTGATTATCAGGCAATGAACGGAGGTAGTACTGGGCAGAGTTCTGAGGTTTGGAGTACCTCCTCAGTTGTTCTTGGCCATCTCTGTGTTTGCCTCAGTACTGCATGGTCACCAAATTTCAAAATGGAAGTAGAGGTTGCTGAAAACATTCTACTTCTGTTCCAGAATTATATCAAAATTGACAGATCCTATGGGAGACTTAGTTAAGAGCCTTTAAAGAGGATCGTTGTAGGCATTAAGGTATAAAAAAGTGACAGCAGTCCTGAAGAGAGAGAGAGAGAGAGAGAGAGAGTGTGTGTGTGTGTGTGTGTGTGTGTGTGTGTGTGTGTATGAGAGAGAGAGAGACAGACAGACAGACAGAGAGAGATATAGTAAGAGAGAGAGCTAGAGCGAGCACTCATCTGGAGACCATCCTGCTTTGAAAGCTACCCTCTCTTAGAAAGTGTTCTCAGTTTGCTACACTTCTTCATATCTTTCATCCTTCCTACCCTGGCAGACTTGGTGTGGGTCTAAGTGAGGAAATGTTTATCTGCTTTGGTCTTTCCTGGGCACAGGGCTCCCTTGATGCTGCACTGTGGCCTCTGGAGCTCCTGGAGGCTTGGGCTCTAGTGGGAATGAACACAGCATAGGCAGAGGTCAACTGGATAGGGAATGGATGAAGTCTGGACTCTTGGGGAGGCTTGGCAGGGGAAAGGATTGGACAAGACAAGAGATAAAATAGAAAGGGTGGGGTGAGAATATACTTCAGGAGTTAAGCCTGAAGAGTTCAGGATGTGGAGTTGTGGCTAGTGGCTGCTGCTGGAAAGCCTACCACACTGGTGAAGAGGAAGGGAGTTGAGCCATGGAGAAAAGTGGAAGAGGGGGAGGGAGAAAGGAAGAAGATTATGACTATAAAGACTACAACAAAGTGTGTGTTTGTGGGCGTGCAGGGTGGTGAGGTTCAGCAGGTGCCTGGATGCTGATACCACGGAACCACTAAAGTCCCATTTTAACCTATGACACATAAGTTAAAAAAAGGGTTCTAAATGGCACATTAGAATGCCAAATAATCCTTCATTCATTGCAGATGTGTAGGGGAAATAAAAGTCAAGAGAATATGAGTGTAAATGGGTCAAAGGGTAGAGATAGAGGATGCATAAATGCATTTTCAATTCTTTTGAATGATATCTACTTGTTTCTTCTCAAAAATTTCATTTGATGACGAATTGCCACCATTTTTGAAATCACCATTCCGTTAGTGCCTGTCCTAGTCAGTTTTTTGTCAACTTGACACAAACTTAGACACATCTGGAAGAGGGGCTCTCAGCTGAAGAATTGCCTCCATCAGACTGGTCTGTGGGCATGTCTGTGGGGACATTTCCTGCATTGCTGATTGATGTGGGAGGGTCCAGACCACTATGAGTGGTGTGGTCCCTAGGCAGATGAGTCTGGGCAGTATAAGAAGGAAAGCTGAATAACCCAGAGGAAGCAATTCAGGGAGCAGTATCCTGCTGCGGTCTCTGATTCAGTTCTTGCCTTGGTTCTCCTGATGATGAGCTATAACTCATAAGACACATAAATCTTGTATGTCCCATGTTCCTTTTGCCAATGTTTTATCACAGTAGCAGAGAGGCCATCTAGAACACTGCAACTGCTGGGTTGTGGAGGTTGGCAGGGTCCAGTTAAAAGATAAGGAGAAGCAGCTGAGGGATAAAGAGATCATGATTAGAGCAAAAAAAATTTTTTTGGCAACTATGTCTTCACCATCCTTATGTTGTCCTTTTCTTTAAACCAATATTTGCAAAGAGTGATTTCCTACTGGTACAAGTCTGAAATGATGGGAACATTCGTTCAACCCCCATTGACATTTAGACTGTAGGCTTGCTTCCCAACAGGGCCCTGCGCATGCCCACTCAGCATCTTTACCATTTGGCTTGTAGACGCCAAGGGTGTCAAGAGTTGCGCTCTTGCTCACTTGTATGAACTAGCACGCGCACGCTGTGTTTAGAAGTGTTGCTCGGCAACCGTGCTTCTGCCAACTGTTTAAGGGCCTGGTTGGCAGACGTTTAAGCCCTGAGCTCCTCTGTGTAAATGTTGCTGGTGAGTCTTGGTTTTTACTAAGACCTAAAACGGGGCTGGGGGACCAGAAAAGATGAAAAGTTGGGAAGGGACTTGAGACCAATGGCTTCTGCCATAAAGAAGATCTTTGGGGTTAAAGAAAAGACACCCTTCGGTTTCTGTGATGGCCCACAAATGTCCATCTCCGAGTTTTTCTTCGGTGAATCTCCCAGCTATCCAAAATACCATACAACGTACAGACCCTTGGGGCAGATCCACCAGGCTGCAGCTGAGGGTGATGCAGGCCAGATGGAGATTCTCATGACGCTTGGACAGTGTTCTGTGTTTGACAGAGACCACAAAAACAGGTGAGGAGGAAGGGTGGGCGACTGTCTACTCGTGGGCAGGCCAGCATGGGAAGTCTCTCTCTGGCTTCCCCAAGATGTCGGGGCTCTGCACCCGAGAGCTGTACACCTGGGCGGGGTCCTGAGCTGCCAAACAATAACTTTTGACTGCTTCCCAGTTTCCTTCTGATTAGTTCAACAGAGCTGGCAACCAGAGATCTGCCAGTTGTGTCTGCCGTCGTCAAACACCAAAGTCCTGACGTCCCTGTGTCCAGAGAGTCGTGGTTGGGGTCTGGGGGTGAAGAGACGCATGTGTTCTATTCACGGCATACACACGGATCTTTGGTGCTGTGTTAAGAAAGGGGCCACGTGTTGAAGTGCTGGCACACATGGAGATCTTCCATGCTGGTGTTGAAAAAAAATAGCATTTCCTCCCACTTCTTTCTTTCTTCCCCCTTCTCTTCTTTCCTCTTTTCCTTTCCCTTCTCTTCTTCCTCCTCTCCTTCTTTTTCCTCTTTCTCTCCCTTTTCCTCCTCCTCCCTTCATTCTCCTCTCCCTCTCCTCTTCCTCCTCCCTCTTGCCCTTTCCTCCTCCTCCTCTCCACCCTATTTCCGGGGGGGGTCTCATAATGGTGTCCTATGCCTTGCCATCTGTGTGTGAAACAGAGATGGAGTTTTTTAGAAAGTTAAACAGATGTAAACACAGGAATTAATAGAGGACACTACACACCCAAGACAGGGAGGGTCAATCAAGGACTGGGTCCAAGCTTTCTCATGAGAATTACCTAGATATCCTTTTTAGTTTCTAATTTTATGGAACAGGAAGTTGAAACTAAGGAAGGCTGAGAGGTAAGAGACTTAGCTCAGAATAGGATTAAACCCAAGAGGAATTTAATTCAAAGGTGATGATTGTCTTTTCTTTTTTTGAAAGAAAAAATTTTCATACAGTATAGTCAGATTAAGCTTTCCCCTCTATTCTCACATCCTCCCCATATCCCCACCCACCCAACTCTACACCCTTTATCTCTTTATAAGACAAGCAAACAAGACCCTCAAATCCCCCTTCCCAAGAAAAACAAAAAGAACCCACAATAAAAACACTAAAGTGGAAATGAAAATATACAGAAAAATATTAATGATACAATCTTTTTTCCTTTTGGCAAACAAAGGAAAATGAGACAAACATCTGCAGAAATACCACTGAGTTCATTTTATACCCACCCATGCTGTCTTTTATTCAAATAAACTGCTCTGGGCTGATTCAAATGAGCAGCTCAATGGCAGAGCACTTTTCCACAGAAATGAGGTCATGTGTTCTGTCCATGGCTCATATAGAGAAAGGACTTCAAACAGGTTGCCCTTTCTTTAAAATTAAAAAAAAAGAAGGAACTCTTGTCCTTTTCTAAGAACATCAGAAATTTGTTTAGAAGGCAGAAAAAAATGACAGGATATTTAATGTTATAATTAAATGTTGAGACAGTGTTCTACAATGTCACAGAAAACACTTCTCATTTCCACAGGACAGCTTTGCATTTTGCCTGTGTCTATGGCCGGCTACCAGTGGTAAATATTCTAGTGAATAATAATTGTGAGATAGATGCCTTAGACAAGGACCACGTCACACCTCTGATAAAGGTAGGTCACTGCTGTTAACTTCAGCACGAGCTCCACGTGACTGAAGGGTTTATGATGGAAGGAATGCTACCTCCATTTACATGTAGCTTGCTGATGAAACCTGTGGGATGTTTATCTTGTATTCCTTGAGCTGATAATCTGCTTTTTGTTATGAAATGCAGTCTGTTCAATGCTGGAAACTGAAATGTGCAGCTGTTCTACTGGAGCACGGTGCTGATCCGAACATTAGGGACTACAGTGGCAACTGTGCCTTGCACTACGCTGTGTACAATGGACATGAAGAGATGGCGTCATTACTGCTCAAATACCATGCTGATATCGAACAGAAAACCAAAGTACAGTTCACTGCATTTTAATTTCAAAATCTCTGAGATACATCTTTTAATAGTGGCAAAGGTGGGGGGGGGCAACATTTTATGTTTAGAAACCTAAGCATTTCCTGAGTGAAAATAGTTGGAAAGGATTCAACTGTAGAAGCTGTAAGCTCACCACCCACACTTAGAAACATTTGATGCACAACTTTCTTTTACACATTTAATGTGAAATATTTGAGAAACCACTGAATCGGCTAGAAGTAGAACTTGCTCATTTTTGTCTTTTCTTCACCATTTCCCTTAACTTTTATAAAGCTGTCCAAGTAGATAGCAAAGTTTACTTTGGGAATGGCTTCATCTCAAAACTCAAAACAAAAGCACTCATATAAAATGGAAATTGTGCTGCTGTTGGCAAGTTACTGCCAAGTGACCTAAGGCTGAAGAAGAAAAGGAGTAGAAGGAAATGTACATCTGGAAATTAGTACCTGAGGGAATGAAGCAAGAAGAATTCAAAGCAAAAATCAGTTTATGTGTGCTGATTCAGTCTTTCTCCATGTTGAAGACAGTAATTCGTAGTTTGGGCAAGAAAACTATTCAATTACAAACATGTCTAGGGATTGGTTTAAGGAGGACTCTGGGGGAATGAGACTGGTAGTAACTAAGTGATAATTATATGGAAAACCAGAGGGACAATCGAACAATTCACAAGTATATTTTCTGGCTGAGACATCTGCTTAGGTAAAAACTAACCTCTGCTCTCAAATCTACAGTTGTTTCCTGGGTGAGAGGGATATTTAATTTTGCTTTTTTTGTATATTGAATTTTGTTGCCTTCTGACTCGCATACTCCCTGTTTTTAGTGATTGAGTCAAATAAACAAATGATAAAGAGAATTATTCATGTCCACATAGAAGTTCTATTTGTGTGGCTCTAATTCTCAGCTGTGGTTGTGTGCAGTTTGATTCAGTACATCTACTAAGTAATGGGCATGCATCTCCTAAAATATTTCCTTGGGATTCTGAAACAACTTCTAGTTTAGGAAAGAAACCCTAAATAGAAACCTAGGCATTACTGGGTTCAAAAATCTAGACATTTCTAGAAGGACTAGAATTTGATTAGATGTTGATTAGATACTATTTCCTACCAAAGTGTCTTTTCCAATAATGCTATCCCAACTTTCCCTTTGCCTTTGTGGTGAGAAGCTAAATGGAATATTATCAAGTAGTTTCATTTCCATTGCTATGACAAACTACTTGACAGAAAAGCAACTTAGGGGAGATAGGGTTTATTTTAGTTCACATTTCTAGATCCATCATTTCTGGGAAGTCACAGTATCAGAAGCTTGAGTCAGCTTGTCCCATAATCTCTATAGTCAAAAGCAGAGATAAATGAACTCATGAATACTTACTTGTGCAAAGCTTGAATTCTTTACTCTTCTACAGTTCTGGAGCCTCTGTTTAGGGAATGGTGCTACCAATAGTAGGCTGGGACTTTCCACATCTATTAAGATAATCTGCCATAGACATGTGCACAGGTCAACTCAATGTAGGCACTTCATTATTGAGATTCTCGCCTGGGTGATTCTAGATTGTGTCAAGTTGGCAATCAAAGCTAACCGTCACAATCAACAATGGCTACTGGCTTATAGACTAGACCACTTTTCTTCCAGCCATCAGTAATAATTCCCTACTCTTAGAAGGTCTTCAGTAGTTTAGTAAGTAGAGACTATCTCTTTTAAAGGTTTCATGCCACTACCTTAAGCAAGTCAACAGATCCCAAAATGTGAATCGCAAGTAGGGTTTTCTCTGTCAGGAGATTGGAAAACATAAATCTTCTTGTCACTTTTTGTATCCAGTCTCAGTGAAGATGTTCAGTTGATAGAGCCTTGGCATGATTAGTCTGGCAGTTTTAACACACACACACACACACACACACACACACACACACACACACACACTATGAAGCCTACAGTAATCAGCTTCTATGTGACTAGTAATTATTTTGTAAACACTGGGAGAATTGACCTTAAGTGGTGTATAAATTACCAAGGGCAGGAAGACTGAAGTATTACAAGTTTTTTTTATTACAGTTTATGAGACTGAGCTTTATAAAACACACTTGCTTTGTATACACATACTGGAAAACACGCTCCCAGAAACAATGAAATCACAGGGGATATGGGCTCAAAGTGGCCTTGACTACACTGAGTTTGCTCCATGACTTGAGCCCACTGTTAGGCTTCAGGAGATTTCTGCAAAAACTTGAACTTTACATTGCTCCTAAAGAATTATGCCTGGTCTCCCCTGAACCTTTACTGTTGGGTGCCCATGCAGAAGGTGGCCATGTTGTTTGAGGCCCAAGTGTACTTACTTTAAAATCTTGATATAGAAAAGAAAATTTGGCCATTGATTCACTAACTCACGAATATCATTTGCCACTGTGTGATGGGGTTTGATTTGTTGATGTAAAGAAGATGCAGCCCCTACCTTCAAGAAATTTTTAGTGTATATGAGAGCAGTCACATGGCTTAAAGTAATGAGTGCTGTAATAGAAGCAAATATTTGAGACAACAATGTAGGTTTGAAATGGGCACTGGAGAGGCTTAGGTTCATTTGACGACTCTAGTCAAGAGAGGAACATTTCAAAGACAGGGAGCAGAGCAAGTGAAAGGTAGCATTGTTGGAAGGAAGGATCATTTATCCACCATGATTTTAAACTTTTATCACATGCTTGTATTTGTAAGACTTTTAGGTAAGTTGAGAATATGTAACTTTTAAATTACAAATTGGTTGTATTGTTTTGCAGGATGGCTTTACACCACTTTTGTTGGCACTCAGAGAGAGGAAGGTAGGAGTGGCAGAACTTTTTGTGAAAAAAGGAGCAGATATACATGTTGTAGATGACATGCGAAGGTAAAGTCATTTGAACTAAAAAGAAGTAGAACATGAGCAGTATTCTGGACTGGTAGCAACCTTGCAACTCAGAAACATGGTTGGTTGGAGGAAGGACCAGCTTACCAAGGATACAGTGAAAACATAGATATACAGGCAACAGTTAGTCTGTTAGAGAAGAAGAGTAATTGAAGTGAGCAGTGCAAATAATCTCTCTCTCTCTCTCTCTCTCTCTCTATATATATATATATATATATATATGTGTGTGTGTGTGTGTGTGTGTGTGTGTGTCACATTGCCTAAAGTACTGACTGAGGATTGTTATTTTTAATCTGACTTGTTGGTCCTTTGATTTTAGGAATTTATGAGCTAAATGAGTTTTATTTATTTTTAAAATGTATGAGCTTTTAGTATGATTTTTTTTATGAGACAGGGTTTCTCTGTATTGTTTTGGAGGCTGTCGGTCCAGCCCGGCCTCGAGCTCACAGAGATCTGCCTGCCTCTGCCTCCCGAGTGCTGGGATTAAAGGCGTGCGCCACCACCGCCCAGCTTTAGTATGATTTTTAAAATTCACAATAGGATTATTAATTATATAATGTATTTCCCTTTTTATTTCTACTTTTTTATTTTATTTAAGATATTTTAGTAACTCTTTGAGAATCTAATGTAATGTATTTTGATCATTCCTTCATCTTCCCACGCTAAGTTTGTGTCCTCTTGTTTAAAAAAATTAATGACATATCCATTCCAGTTTGTGCTGTCCTTATACTTATGGATGTGATGCCATCCACTGGAGCTTGGCTCAGGAGCCACACCCTTAAAGATATCTTACTCTTCCTCCCCTAGAAGCCGTCAACAGTCAATAGTTCCTTTGCTAGGAGTAGGGGCTCTTGACTCCCTCCCCAGTACATGCAAAAGGTTGACTTGATCGTCTTGATCTTGTGTAGGCAACCACAGCTGCTGTGACTCCATGAGCAAAGAGGTCTTGACATGTACAGAAGACATGATTTTTTTCCCACTCCTCCCCAACCTCTGATTCTCACATCCTCCTTATATCCTCTTCCTGGTGGGTCCCCTAGCCTTGAGGAAGGTGTATAATGTAGATGTTTGTGCTTTAAGAAATAAACCTGGCCTGAAGATCAGAGTGGAGAGCTAGCCACACTAGTTAACCATAGAGGCCAGGCAGTGGTAGCATACACCTTTAATCCCAGCACTCAGGAGACAGACAGACAGATCTCTGTTAGTTCCAGGCCATCCTGGGCGACACAAAATTGATCCAGGCTAAAACAGAAACAGAGCCAGGCGGTGGTGGCTGACACCTTTAATACCAGTACTTGGGAATCACATGTCTTTAATCCCAGCACTAGGAAGGCAGAAACAGGAGTGGTATCACTGAGCAGAGAGAGGAATATACGATGGGAGGAGACAGGAACTCATTCATTTAGTCTGAGGATTCCTAGAGACAGGATCACTATTTGGTCTGAGTATTTGGTAGAGGTAAAAGCTCTCTCTAGTGACTGGCTGCTCTGCTTTGCTGATCTTTCAGCATTAATCCCTATATCTCACACTGGGGTTTTATTATTAAGACCTATTAGAATTCGTACTGCAACCATCATTTACCACACAAGAAAACTTCTCTAATGAGGTCTCAGAGACTTTATAGCATTTTCCCATTTCCTTCTTGTATACTTTAAGATACTACATTCAGCCAAATAGGAGTTGAAAATTACAGTATGTGGAATCACTCTTTAAATTGCATTTCTTTATTGAATATTAATGTCAGGTTATCCTTAAGTGATGATTAAATGTTCATTTTTTCCCTTTTACCCTCCCTGATTTTTAACCCATTTATATTAACTTGTCGTTGAAAGGGAGATAAAAGCAATAATTGGATAAAACTTAAGGAAGATAAATCATAAGTGGATGATAAAAGAGGAGACTTTAGGGTCATTCAATACTGGGTTAAATTATCAGTTTTCCCAGTTGCTATGTATGTCATCTTCAGAATGATGCTCACACCCAAATATATCCCCTGGTGTGAAACAGATGATAACACCCTTAATAAGGAGTTCTAGTATTATTTACATAGCCCTTAGTGTAGTACAGTACATAGTCATCAACATCATTAACTAAAAGCACTATGAATTTTATTATTATTTTATATTACCACTATTCAAATCATGCACATATCTTTGAATTATTTCATCTTCAGCTGGTTAAGAACTGTGTTATATTACATTAGGCTAGGGAAATGTGAACTCTTCCTTAACCATTTCCGATGCAAAAATTTAGCATAGCTATTTTTAAAGGTCATGAGGTCAGGAATTCTACTGCAAAGTAGATCAGTGGGAAAAGATATTTCCTTCTTTATCCTGGGGGATAGCCTCACAAAGAGAAACAATTGTGGGTCCATGATACTACGTCTGTTGGGAAATGGTCAATTCTACACAGTCAGGTGAGAGTCTAAGTTGGTAAGATACATCTATGTAGATTTAACTAATTTCATTCATTTTATGACAGTGGATCTATACTTTTGCTATTTTAGAAACACCTTGATATATGCTATACGATGTGGATCAAAAAATATGGCTACATTGCTCCTTCAGAAAGGCATTGACTTCTTCTACAAGGATACCTTTGGATGGACGGCATTACGGTATGCTATTGAAGGCCACTGTACTTTGTAAGTATTTCCATTAACATGCTAATTAAACTTATATTGATGGTTGAAAATAGATACAAGTATTGCATTATTCAATTGAGGCATTATTGCACTGTGTGGGTAGTTTTAGAATGGTGGTAACTTAGTTTACCTAGCCAGTCAGAAATCAAGCAAAATAGTTAGGAACAGCACTGGGACTGAAACGCTTAAGCTCAGGACTCCTTTTGGTAAATGCTGAACATTGGACCCAGAACCTTGCATGTGCTAGGCAAGTTTTCCCTCATTTTACTATATCTCCAGCTAAGAGATTTAAAGACCTTCAACCTTAGGGATCTCAGCATTTTCACGTTATCCCCGTATATAACCTTTACAAATGAGATACAAAAAGTATCAATTGTATTTTTGATCTTTTCAAGTAGCTGCTTGGATCTTGAAATGTCCAGTTTAATAGACAATCATGTTGCTCTCCTGTGGGAACTTGTCTTCTGTACACTCCTCCTTAACTTTCCAGTAGCTGAAGATTCTTAGACCCAAGGAATCTAACTCTCTTAGAAAACACAGATGGAGAAAAATGAAGAGGATAGCCTATCAGTCTTTATTTCTGTTGGTTCCATCACTATAAAACATGCCCTGAAATTCCATAGCAATTGATCTTAACTACTAAGTGTTTATGACAATATACACTCAGAACTGAGAGTTGTAATATCTCATGTTCACATGGACTTATGTTTTTAAACTCAGCTATTATTTTCAAACCACATTATCCTTCGGCAGTTGGACTTTCTAGTTTCTGCCACATACATTGTTAACAATCTGACCCTTCCCACCTGTCCATAATCTCATCAGACCTTTGTGGTCAATTCACATTGAGAAATGTGTGTGTGTGTGTGTGTGTGTGTGTGTGTGTGTGTGTGTGCGCGCAACAAATGTGAACTGTATAAAAGTTCAAATCATGTTGCAGAAAAGTCACACACTTTCTCTACTGATTAATGTTGGATGCCCCCATATCAATCTATCTAGGGTTGCTGTTGACTTTTTCTTGGGCGGGTACTCAACTGATTCTCTCTCTCTTTTTTCTATAGCTGTAACAATCTCCCAAGTTATTTCAGTCCTAGATTCATGTTTACAGAGATTTTTGAGTTCTTTCCCACAAAGAAGCAACTAAGCATGCCTCTGGATCCAAAGAACAGTTGGACTTAGGAGTACAAGATCACGTCAGATTTTATTAGTATCTACATGTAATAGAGGGTTTTGTTTATGAATCATTTGGAGGTACATATGATGATTTAAAATAGGCAGGGGAGAATGAAGAGGAGAGCAAATCCAGGTCTTGGAATTGATTCCCTTTCTGCCCTCAGAGTGATTGATTATTTTTTTAGTAACAGTGAGCAGTCATTTAATTAAGGAGATAATATATCATGAAGTACTTAGCTTCAAATTGTTAAACAACTCATTTTCTCTGAATCACAAGCCACAAAATAGAATAGCTAATAACCAAAATGAGGGCTTAACATGTTCCAAACAGTTGTAATATTTGATTTTTAGATACATTTGGGGTTTAAAAAGAGCTCAATATCAGGAAATACCTTGCTGTTTTGTTTTTCCATGCACATGTTTTAATACTATCAAATGAAATTTTAAAAGAAACCTACTGAACACAAGCAGTACAAATCCTTTTTTTGAATGACACTTAATGTCTGTGGGAAACAACTTATTCAGTAGCAGACAGTTGTAGTTTCGGAGCATGGATGTCTTCTGACATTAGGGTACTTCACTGCTTGTCAAGCTAATCCAGTCTACCCTTTAAGCTTTATTTCTCTCATTTCATGCCCTCTTATTTCAATTTTTCTTATTTTCTTATAGGCTTAATTACAAGACTTAGAGCCCATAAACTTCAAACATGTAGTAAAAACTTCTAGCAGTGCCTCTATGGTTTTCAGTGATATTCTCTATTTAGAGATGGGGTCTCATGTGCCCCATGTGGCCTTGAGTTCACTATGTGTCTGAGGATGACTTTGAACCTCTTGCTCTTTCTGCCTCTACCTCCCAAATGCTGTGATTACAGGTGTGTGCTACACGTCTAGTTAGATGTGATGCTAGAGATGGGACCCAAGGCTTAATGCATGTTAGGCATACACTCTGCTGATGGAGCTTCACCTGTAACCTGGATTATTCTTATGAATTAAGTATGCTAAATGTTTTAAAATAAGTATTAAAATAACAATTGTGTTTATTACTTTTCAAATGATAGTAGGCAGATGCTTCTGGATTTCGAAGAAAACATACACAATAACAGAAATGATAGTGAACCAGGTAAGACTTATAATGCTCTTTGCAGTCCTACCCTACACAAAAAATGTTGAACTAAGAAAGTTTTCATTTACAAAGAGTGGAAAATTGCATTTATATTTACTTAAGTTCTTTCTGAACAGTATAAAAATCAGACATTAATTACATGAAACTTAGAATCAGAAGAGTGACCTTGTCTCAAAAATTCACATGCCGAGTCATTGAGGAAGACCTTTAATATTGACCTCTGGACTCTGCTTGCATGTGCACTTACTTACATGCACAGACAACCCCCAACTCCAATAATATGTGTATCTCATGAGAGAGAGACAAGAAAGACAGAGAGAGAGAGAGAGAGAGAGAGAGAGAGATGCAGAAAGAGACAGAGACATGCACACACAGAGGCAGGCTGACAGAGAGAAAGAGAGAGGCAGAAAGAGGCAGAAAAAGGCAGGTAGACAGAAAGACAGACACACAGACACACACACACACACACAGAGGGAGAGAGAGAGAGAGAGAGGAGGAGAGAAAACAAAAGTAGTCAATATCTTTGTTTCTGTGGAACTAGGAATTGAACCCAAGACTTCCTGCATTTTAGGTAAGTGCTATATAATTAGATTTACCTCTAGCTCCCCCCCTTTTTGCGCGTCATCTGAAGTTATGATGACAAAGACGTTTCATGTGAAAAAAACATGTATTTATTAATCATGTTTGTTTGAATAAGACTCTTGTCGAAGAGGTCACACTGTGACATAATTTTTTTTCCCAGGTCCGGGACCAGGTAAGGGCAGAGCCGTCTGGAATTCATAAATGTAAAGGGTGATGGCTTCAGGTTTAGGACCATTTCTTCATGATGTTGATATGGCCTTGCTGGTCTGCAACATATCTATGCTTGGAGAATTTGGAAGTGGTCACTTCCTTGATGGCCTCAATAGCCTGGACCCTGCCCTCTGAGCATGGCTGCACCTCTGCTCTGCTGTCATGAAGGCATGCTCAACTGGTAGCAGTTCTCAGCCTCCACCTCCAACTGAAGGATCCAGGCTGCACTTATTTCCTGCTAGGAATGTGGCCACGGAGAACAGTGGCGAGGAACTTGGTGCCTCTTAGGGTGCTCTCATCTTAGAGTCCCTCAGACACTCTATTTAAGCATATTTTAAAAATTAAAACAATATTATTTTTATGTTTGTGAAAACGTGCCCGGGGCATGCACATGAATCGTTCGGAGATGCATGAAGTGGAAGACACAAAGAATAAATGAAGAAGAGAGTGAAAAAAAAAAGGGTTAGCTAGAACAAGCAGCACTCAGGCAACTTTTGAGCTCTTCGTCAGCATGTGGGAAGTCTTTGCTGGGCCCTGGCACCTGGTCTGATTTTGTGTTTTACCCTGCAGGGTGCAGTGTCTATAGATAAGTGTCAGTGGGATAGTATATTCATCCTAAACTGAAAAATTCAACTGATTACTTGGAAAATCTCTATTCTCTTACAACAAAATAAACACATTCTCTTATTAGATGAGATCCAGGGTGGTATGGCCATAGACTATATTCCCTTATTCATCTTTCTTATGCTGTTAGTCTAGGTATATCAGGCAGCTTGCTTGACACTATCAGTTTATAATATGATGACAACATTTTTAAGTTAGTCTCATAGTAGTTCATTGGGATTATGGTCATTGTACACGACATTGTACTTTTCATAAATTTCATACACATTTATTCTTCCTATTCATGTCCCCAAAATACAAACAACAGAAAGAGTCTTATGCATCGACTGCTCCATGAGCAGTATAATTCAGATCTACTGTAGAAGATTCCCATGATGTATTTCTAAATGAATGCTTTCCAGCAATGCTTTTGAATAACAGATCTTTAATATTGGATACTTTTCTTCCATCTTTTAAAATGCATTTTATATTTTTCTTTAGAAGAACAAATGGATTCTGGAAATGACCCATTAGCTGGGTAAGTTTTACATGTTGATAAAATGTGTATGTTATCTAAGTATTGGAATGGGCAGATGAGAAACAAGTATTTGCTCAGCATTTTACTCTGGGAGCACCATGCGTTATATTTAAAATACTGTTGTTTATTATAATTCCCACCATAGACATTCAAAGTATATGCGTTTATATCGGCTGTAGCTGAGAGCCCCACATCTGTGATTTTACTTCCATCTTGCTTGGCTCCCCCATTCAGTCTCTTGCTTATCCACAGGTTGGATTTTGTCAAAGGCTTTTTCTGCATCTAGTGAGATGATCATGTGATTTTTGTTTCTCAGCTTGTTTATATGGTGGATTGTATTGATGGATTTTTGTATGTTGAACCATCCCTGCATCCCTGGGATGAAACCTCTTTGATCATGGTGAATGATTGTTTTGATGTGTTCTTGGATCCAATTTTCCAGTATTTTATTGAGTATTTTTGCATCAATGTTCATGAGGGATATTGGTCTGAAGTTCTCTTTCTTAGTTGTGTCTTTGTGTGGGTTGGGTATCAAGATTATTGGAGCCTTGTAGAAAGAGTTTGGCAAAGACATTTCTGCTTCTATTGTGTGGAATACTTTGAGAAGAATTGGTATAAGCTGTTCTTTGAATTTCTGGTAGAATTCTGCACTGAGGCCATCTGGCCCTGGGCTTTTTTTGGTTGGGAGACTTTTGATGACTGCTTCTATTTCTACAGGTGTTATAGGTCTATTTAAATGGCTTATCTGTTCTTGATTTAATTTTGGCAAGTGATAGATATCCAGAAAATTGTCCATTTCCTTTAAATTTTCGAATTTTGTGGAGTACAGGTTTTCAAAGTATGACCTGATGATTCTCTGAATTTCCTCAGAGTCTATTGTGTCTTGGGTCCATTTGATTGGATAATCTTTTCCCAACCTTTAACTCTGAGGTAATGTCTGTTTTTGAGGTTGAGGTGTGTTTCTTGTATGCAGCAGAAGGATGGGTTCTGTCTTCGAATCCATTCTGTTAACCTGTGTCTTTTTATGGGTGAGTTAAGGCCATTAATATCAAGGGATATTAATGACCACTGATTGCTCATTCTTCTTTGATTTGGAATGGTTGTTGATGGTGGTATTATGTGTGGAATTCCACCCCTTTTTTTCTTTTGAATGTTGGTAAAGTAGGATTATCTAATGCCTATGTTTTTCTGGTTGTAGTTAACTTTCTTGGGTTGGAGTTTTCCTTCCAGAACTTCCTGTAGGGCTGGGTTAGTGGAACCAAGTTTTGTTGTGGAGTATCTTGTTTTCTCCATCTAAAGTGATTGAGAGTTTTGCCCGGTATAGTAGTCTGGGCTGGCATCCATAGTCTCTTAGTGTTGGTAGAATATCTATCCAGGACCTTCTGGCTTTCAGAGTTTCCATGGAGAAGTCAGGTGTAATTCTGATAGGTTTGCCTTTATATGTTACTTGACATTTTTCCTTAGTTGGTCTTAATATTCTTTCTTTATTCTGTAAGTTTGGGGTTTCGATTATTATGTGGCAAGGGTACTTTTTTTTGTGGTCCACTCTATTTGGTGTCCTGTAAGCTTCTTGTACCTTCATTGGCATGTCTTTCTTTAGGTTGGGAAAGTTTTCTTCTATGATTTTGCTGAATATGTTTTCTGCCCCTTTGAGGCAGTTTTCTTCATCTTCTTCTATACCTATTATTCTTAGGTTTGGTCTTTTCATGGTGTCCCATATTTCCTGGATGTTTTGTGTTAGGGATTTGTTGGACTTAAGATTTTCTTTGGTTGATGTATCAATTTCTCCTAGTGTATATTCAACACCTGAGATTCTCTCTTCTATCTCTTGTATTCTGTTGATAATGCCTGTATCTGTAGTACCTGACCGTTTGCCCAGCTTTTCTATTTCCAGCCTTCCTTCAGATTGTGTTTTTTTATTGTCTCTATTTCAGTTTTCAACCCTTGCACTGTTTGCATTGTTTCTTGCAATTTTTGGTTTATCTTTTCGTCCATTTGTTGCATTTTATGAATTTTTTGGTTTGTTGTTTCTTCTATTTCTTGCATTTTTGGTTTGTTGTTTCTTCCATTTCTTGTTTTTTTTCCTTTTTTTTCTTCAATTTCTTTGAGGGTTTTTCCTATATCCTCTTTTAGGGCCTCTATCATTTTCATGAAGTTGTTTTTAAGGTCATTCTTTTCTGTTTCATTTGCATTGGAATGTTGGAGTCTTGCTGGTGTGCAGTCTCTAGAATCTGGCAGTGTCATATTTGTTTTTCTGTTGCTGAGTGTGTTTTTGTATTTTTTCTTTCCCATTTCTTCTTCTAGTGGGTGCAGAAAGAGCCCCTTACTGGTCTGGTGGTTAGGGGACCAGAGTTCCCTTTCGGTGAGTGCAAGCTAGTCCAATACTCTGGTAGTTCTTCTCTTCCTGGTCCTAGTCCTGGTCCCGTGGGTGGAGAAGAAGCCCAGGAATTTGGGGTGCATAGTCTCCCACTGGGTCCCCTAGTCCCTTTGGTGGAAGAGAAGACCTGGGATTTGGGGTGCATGGCTCCTGCTGGGATTGGAGGCTCTGTGGCAGTCCCCAGGCACTGGAAGGCAGGCCCGTATGCTGGGCCTTGTTTATCTGGACCTGCTAGTCCCCTGGTCTCTTTAGTGGAAGAGAAGACCTGGGATCTGGGGTGCTTGGCTCCTGCCAGGATGGGAGGCTCTGTGGGAGTCCCCAGGCATTGGAAGTCAGGCCCGGATGTGGGGCCTTGTTTACCTGGACCTGCTGGTTCCCTGGTCTCGTTGGTGGAAGAGAAGAACTGGCATCTGGGGTACATGGCTCCCAGTGGGATGGGAAGCTCTGTATACCTCAACATTTTATCTAGAATTTTGGTAATCACAGTGCCAGCTAGTACCCTGTCTTAAGTATTGAGAGTTGTCTGGCCCACTTGTTTACATGTATTTTTGAACAACAGGAACAAGCCGGGAGAGAATTTTATTTTATGGAAATCAAGAATATATCTGTATGCAGAACATGTGATACAAATTATATTTAAAAGCTTTTAGAGGATAATTGGAAATTAATATTCCTACTTATTGATTTTTCAATTTGTTTTCTCATTTAGGCTTTTTATTTAAATTGGAAACAGTCTTGTTTTACATATCAATCCCAGTTCCCTTCCCCTCCTATCCTCTCATGTCCCCCAGCAACCCCTATCCCATCCCTGTTCTACACCCCAGGGAGGGTGAGACCTTCCATGGGGGGAATCTTCAAAGTCTGTCACTTCATTTGGAGCAGGGCCTACGCCCTCCTTCATGTGTCTTGGCTGAGAGAGTATCCCTCTATGTGAAAGGGGCTCCCAAAGTCCATTTGTGTACTAGGGATAAATACTGATCCACTACCGGAGGCCCTATAGACTGCCAGGCCCCCTAAGTGACACCCATGTTCAGGGGATCTGGAACAGTCCTGTGCTGGTTTCCCAGCTATCAGTCTGGAGTCCATGAGCTCCCCCTTGTTCAGGTCAGCAGCTTCCATGGGTTTCTCCAGCCTGTTCTTGACCCCTTTGCTCATCACTCCTCCCTGTCTGCAACTGGATTTCAGGAGTTCGGCTCAGTGCTTAGATGTGGATGTCTGCTTCTGATTCTATCAGCTACTTGATGAAGGCTCTATGATGGCATATAGGATAGTCATAAATCTCATTATAGGTGAAGGGCATTTCAGGTAGCCTTTCCACTACTGCTTAGATTGTTAGTTAGGGTCATCCTTGTACATCTCTGGATATTTCCCTAGTTTAGATTTCTCTTTAAACCTATAATGGTTCCCTCTATTATGGTATCTCTTTTCTTACTCTCCTCTGTTCTTTTCTGACTCAATCTTCCTGAACCCTCATCTTTTCCTGTCCCCTCATCTTCTCCTCTTCTCTGTCTCCTAATTCTCTTTCCTCCCTGCAACCACCCAATTTGATCAGGAGATCTTGTCCATTTCCCCTTCTCTGGGGGACTATGTATGTCCTCCTTGTTTCCTAGCTTCTCTGGAGGTGTGGATTGTAGCCTGGTAATCCCTTGCTCTACGTCTAATATTCATACATGAGTGAGTACATAACATGTTTGTCTTTTTGTGACTGGGTTACCTCACTCAGATTGGTTTCTTCTAGTTCCATTCATTTGCCTGCAAATTTCAAGATTCCATTGTATTTATTATCTGCTGAGTAGTACTACATTGTGTAAATCTACACGTTTTCTTTACCCATTCTTCAGTTGAGGGGCAGCTAGGTTGCTTACAGGTTCTGGATATACAAATAATGCTGCTATGTGAATATAGTTGAACAGATGTCCTTGTTGTATGAATGTTCGTCCTTTGAGTGTATGCCTAAGAGTGGAATTGCTGGATCTTGAGGTAGACTGATTCCCATTTTCCTCAAACTGCCATACTGATTTCCAAAGTGGCTGTACAAGTTTGCTTTCTCACCAGCAATGGAAGAGTGTTCTCCTTTCTCCACATCCTCTCCAACATAGAGGTCATTGGTGCTTTTGATTTTAGTAGTTCTGACAGGAGTAAGAGTTGTCTTGATTTGTGTTTCCCTGATGGCTGAGGATGTTGAGCACTTTCTTATGTGTCTTTTAACCATTTTAGATCCATCTATTGAGAATTCTCTATTTAGTTCTGTACCCCACTTTTAATTGGATTATTTGGTGTTTTGGTGACTAGCTTCTTGAGTTCTTTGAAATCAGCCTTCTGTCAGATGTGGACTTAGTGAATATCTTTTCCCATTCCATGGGCTGCCGTTTTGTCTTGTTGACTGTGTCCTTTGCCTTATAGAAACTTCCCAGTTTCAGGAGGTCCCATTTATTAATTGTTGATTTCAGTGTATGTGTATGTGCTACTGGTGTTATGTTCAGGAAGTGGTCTCCTGTACCAATTCGATCAAGGTACCTCCCACTTTCTCTTCTAAAAGATTCAGTGTGGTTGGATTTATGTTGAGGTCATTGATCCATTTGTTCTTAAGTTTTATGCATGGTGATAGATATGGATCTATCTG